ATCCGCTTTCAGGTGGTACTGCCTGAACATCTCGGATTTACTGAAATTCTAAGACCCAAGAGAGAACACCTCTGCAACATCTCGTAGCTTAAATGGCAGCACACGTAGTGCTGAAATGCTCTGTGTGTGCTTGTGGAAATATGTAGTTATCTGCTATCAAGTATATTAAATCAGCTTAAAGGGTGATAATATACACCTGGGCTCTCACAATGTGTTGGAGAGATGAAAACAGAAAAAACAGTCATGTCATAGAGATATAACATGAAACGTAGATGCTTCCTAACTCTGTGCCTTTAGCTGCAGATTCTCATTCCGCTCTGCCTCCCAAAAATGTATGTTCCTGTACAACTAAATTGTATTGTCAACTACGTTATGAGGAACACGTATTTTCTGCCAGATTGTGTTTGTCGTGAAGCATCACAAATACATTTCTAATCAACACATCTTTGCCACCTTTTCAGCCAGCCAATCATATATTAGATGGAGTTAGAGTGGAAAATGGAGGAGAAGCTTCTAACATGTTGTGAAATCTTCACATTTTATTCCAAACTGTGGTACTTTACCAAACCTAAAGTAGTTTTGGTGCTTCAATCTAACCAAGCTTCTAACATGTAGTTTGTCTTGTGAAAGGATTCATTTAAACACAGAATATGAGATTTTACTACCAATAACTAAAACAAAAGGCAACCGTAAGTGAAATTAACTTTTTCCAAATATAATGTTCCCTTATGGGATGCCAACTCCAGGCTATAGGGTAAGAGTCCTGTCACTGATTTGTGCCTCTTGACTCAAACTTTGTGGCCCACATTTCCTATGCCATCACAGTGCTACTGCTTGGGGAAAAAACAAGTTTCTTTCAAAACGTACATAAGGATGGAACTTAATTTTTGTGTGACCTTGTTGGCTCATTTTTGTGTCTCCACCTGTCCACATATTCCCATTCGCCCACTGACTTTACACTGGCAACATGTCACAGGAGCAGAAATGTCTTTTCAGGCTCTGGGAAAGTTTTACAAATAAAGAAGTTTGTGGATTAAACATTCATCATAAAAACAGTCAAAAATCAAGTTGTTTGCAGCTCAAGATGTCAACAGTGTGAGTGACAGCACCTATCAGTCTCTCTTAAAACATTCATGTTGTGGCGCTGCTATCACCGTGATCTCACCGTTCTGCCTGTCTGGGTGAATCTGCCAAACGAGTCTGGACAAAAAGTTTCTGTTTGCACTGTAAATACAGATGTACAGACACCAACCACAGAATTAAACCGAAGACAAAGTGACAATGAAAAAGATCAGGTCACCTAAGGAATAGAGTTTTTAAATAACTTCTTCTGGATGTACATCTGCAAACACCAGAGAAATTGTCATGTCAGGAAGGTGTACGAAGGTGTATGTTGCACTGACTGGCCTAATGTCTGTATCTTCAGCAATGACTTGGGTATGACATTAAGCAGATTTGTTGGGTGTCACGTTGTCTTTTGCCCTTCCTCTGTGTCTCCAATGAGACTAGGAACCAGTAAAATGATTAAGATTTAATTCCCTCAATTAAAAACCACATTTCTTATCATGATAAAATGTCCATATATTGTTTTTCTTTATTACATGCTGGAAGACACATTGAGACAACGAAGCAGTCAGTGCTGTGGCTGAGCATCCCCACCGTAAAACTACAGTGTACCAATTTTAGAAATCAATCCTGCCCCCTTTAGGGTTGAGCTTTCTGTATCATTAGTCTTCTTCAGAACTGGTTTCTGGTCTGAAAATGTAAGGCTGAAATACACTGTGTAGCTCAGTGTTTTTTGTAGCTGGGCCGGTGTGCTCGAGCTGCAACGAGCGGGGCGAGGTAGGTGGAGAGAGGCAAAGACTTTATAGATCTGTAGGTTTTGAGGAAGCAATGGTGCTGTTCATCTAAGCCATTTTAACGTAGGAAACTCTGTATATTCAATATACAGAGAGGAGCTTTCAGAGGAATAAATCAATGATCAGAGGGACTTAAATATTTTTTTTGATGCCCAAGTGAGTGGAATGGATTTGTTATGGGTTTCTTACCTACACACTCTGTCCACTGGTGAAAAAAGCACACCCAATTAGCCTGTGCAGCTAGCACTAATGTGAGTTATTCAGTTAAGGCAGCAAATTCTCAGCTCTTTAATGACCTCATTAACAACTTGTGCTGACCCTAAATTCTTTTTCAAAGGGCCATGAAAAGATAGTGTCTCATCGCCGTTACAAACCCACAGGCATTTCAATGTTTTCAGAAATGAAGAAGTAAACCTATTCACACATTTATTTGGATCACATGTGGCTGAAAACATCAAACTAGATGCGACTGGCTTTTGTTGATGGCTTGCATGCTGAGTGGTGCCTGCTACCATCAGAGGCCACATTCACAGTGAACTGTCACACTGCCTGCAAATCCAGTTTTAACACCGTGTTACTGTGATGAAATTTTAGATAATCTTGACAAAATATTCAGCCTACCTGAGGGGAGTCAGGCTTTTCTCACACGGCATATGAGTCTAGATGCTGAATTCATAAAAGCAATCCTGCCAGCACAATGGAGCTGCATGTATTCATCCTGTTTTCCAACTGAGAAAATCACGCCGCATACAACTAAGCTGATTTGCTGATATTCTATAAACAAAGACAAGATACTAAACCCTCGGTTTTAATCAATGCTAAAATCAAAAAATGCACAGATAAAACAGATTTTGATAAATAGCTAATCTACTCTTGAGACCCTTCAGCAACCAGGATGATTTAGATCAATGATTCCCAACCAAGTATTTGTACTGCAGGGGGTATTTCTGCAGTTGCTATGGGAGGAGGGCGGGGTTCGACAAGATGGGAGTCAAGAAACAGTCAGACTATTTTGCCACTTAGAGAGCAGGCCTTTCATCGTACTGAAGAATGTTAGTATGCCCAAGAGAGTTAAATAATCACATTAGTACCTCTTAGAGGCAATTCTTCGTTTCCTCTATTCTATCTGTCCAAAAAGTTTTTCTACTGGCTCTCTTTGCCTTTGTTCTTTCTGCTGAACTTTCTCCCTGCAATGTATTTGATTCAGTCTAGCATTCATCATACCTCCGAGGACATATCCTCTCTTGTGTGCCTTGTTCTAGCATCGTCTTATCAGCCGAGCTACAAAAACAAAATCCAACATACAGGAGCAAAGTGGGACTTATCAATCCACACTGTACAGCAAAGAGAATGAACACCAGGCCGAGGTATACGTATCTATATCCTTCATCTGTGTGATGCTCAGAGCTGCCGGACAGCTCAGATATGGATTAAACTTCAGACATGATCACCATTCAGAGACGCAGTTGGTCGAGGAAAAGGGTTTAATCCTTGTCTGCAAGCCCGGCCCTTGGCAAGGTAAATAAGATGGCTTCTGTTGTTTAGGTGATGATGGATGAATTGTAATTAAAACTTCAGGACAAATAAACAACAACAAAACAAAGTGGTAAACACAGGTGAGTAGTGGAGTTTGTGGGTAGAAAATGCAGGCGTAAGACAACACTGAGGAAGCTGAGGTGCAGCATGGCTCAATAATCCTCTCCTTTTCAGTAACATGCAAGTATTTACAGAAATGTTTTATTCACTTGTGACCAAGTGGCAAACTTGAGAGCTGAAAAATGAAGCCAAGGTGGAAGTGCCTAAAATAGTTCCTTAAATGGCCATTTGACACTTGCTCCAAAGAGAGTCAATCCCCACAGACATTTTAAAATATCAACTCAAGCAGAAATAAGCATGCCTGGTACCAAAAAACAGTGTTGGTCTTAATAGTTAATTTCTTCATTCACAACAACTGTATGGAGGTAGAAAGGTAGTCCAGAAACCAATGGATACCATCACGGTGGCTACATCCATCTTTTATATACAGTCTATCGATATAATTCCAATGCAAGCACATGTGCAACCCACTTTCAAACTCTCAAAAAGACTGTAAGCAAAATTGCAGTTGGGAATTACATGAAAGGACAACATGCCTTGATCATGTAAGATACATCCACTGTGCATCTAGTTCTGTACAGGAGGACTCTTGTTACCTGCCTGAATGGAGTATAAATCCAGCTCGACTGGATATGTGGACATATTACGAGACGGATGTTTTTTAAACATGTGTTGCAGCTTATCTTGTATTCAAGTGAGTATCAATCACTCTTTATACCACCTCCACCTACTTATTTTCTTATTGTTTATGCACCTCTGATGCAGCTGTTTGTTGTTCTAAATTAATCTATGAGGATTAACTCTAGAGAGGCGTAATTAAAGTATGTGGATAAAAAGCCTGATGAGAACAATCTAACTTCAAACCTGATTTTTAAACAAATAATGCTACAGTGAGGAAGGAGGACATTTAAAAAAGCACAGCTGGTAGCAGAGAAACAGGTACTAATGTAATTGCTGAACACATGGTCTTAATAATATTTTGCGTTGGATTCTAAGAGAAAAAAAATCTCCTAATCAGAGTGATCAAAGCAAATTTTAACCAGCAAGTACGACCTTGTGATTTTTCATCACAGTTGTGCACATGCACTATTTCCTTACACTTCTAAGTTATGCTCCTTAGATAGACTGACTTACATTACTAACATAGAACTTCATTTTTTTTTCATGGTGAGTGGGCAGTCCACTTTCTGCCTCTACAGCAAAAGGCAGTTTGTGCTAATTGACATCTAAAATAAAACAATCATCAGAAAGTTATTTTCTTACTGCGTGTAAGTTGTGTCTTTATAGCCCAAACGCAATTAAATGTTCTGATTTTGGTCATATTTACATGGATATGTTTACAAGAAGCACTTGAATCTAATGTTGCACTGACAATGCATGTCGATGTATATATACATATACACATACACACACACACACACACACACATATATATATATTAGTAGTATAATATCAGTATTCAAAATGATAAGTTGTAAAATGAGTGAGTAGAATTCAGTTGCGAGCCAAATGACAAAAGCCAGTCATGGTTACATTAAAGCTTACCTGATTGGAGTAGCGCATGCTCACATTGCGCTGGTCCTGCCGTGGCACATAGCGGTGGATGGGATCGATATCCTTAGGGCTGATCAACTCATCCACTGAAGAGTGAGCACGCACACACAAATACACACAAAGGTAGACATGAAGACAATAAACATGCATATACATGACCACAATGACAAGGAAACAAGGGTACAAAGACAAAAGATCGATTTCCTACACAAATGCACACAACGTAGGGGTCAAACTGTGTCCGAGGATTCATGTCAGAGAAAAAGCAAGAAGTTTTAACAATCATTAACTAATATGAATAATGAATAAATGACAGGATACTACTATTTGACATGCATAATGTGTTGTAAGAAATCATTTGACCTTATGACCTTAAAGGTGGAGGCTGTGATTCTGGAAAAGGATTGTTAATATGCACATAGTTAGCATATTTAGATATTTAGAATGTGCCAGATTTACTGTCCAGCTCACTTCCACTCCTTTTCCCCCTGATTGTGTACTAGCTTAAATGTACACAGGACACACTGGAATAGCACTCAGTAAGTCTACGAACACTGTTTTTTTCTTTTTTTTCATCTGCATGGTCAAAGAATGGACAGATATCAACACTGAGAAAGTTTTCACCCGGATTAGAACTCACTGACTTCATCTGTAAGGTCATATCAGTTTTGCATTATTAATGAACTTATAGACTGACATTAGAATATACAGAATGAAACTGTGTGTTCAAGTCAGCATACCAAAGCGCACACACACACATCGACATACCCAGCAACTTGGCAATGTTGTACAGGGCCTGACCCCATAGGAAGACCATCCCATCACGGCCAGAGTTACTAGGGAAACGCTTCTGGCTACCATGCTTGTTCTGTTCCGCCTCCACAAAATCAGCTGGTACATAGTAGTATTTGGGGATCACGGCATGGCCTGGTGTGAGAGACAAGGACTGTGAGCTCTGTGTACTTGTACTTTCTCAACTAACACACATTAGGAAAGGTGTCCAGTCAGAAAGAACCCAGAAGACCTGGGTGTGCATCCCGTAACAGACAAGGGATCATTAGTCTAAGGGTACATGTCTATATGACCTGTCACTTCAAGTCTTACTATTTACTGTCTATGTGAACAGCCATGCAATGCATTGTGTTTTAGGAGACGGGGCGTTGTGCTGCATTGTGTTGTGTTGCATTGTGTTACGTTGCGTTGCGTTGCGTTGCGTTGCGTTGCGTTGCGTTGCATTGCATTGCATTGTGTTGCATTGCATTGCATTGTGTTGCATTGCGTTGCAATGCGTTGCATGGCATTGCCTGCTACTCATTTGCAAAAAGATGAGGTCTCAGCTGCTGTGGTGTGCTGGGCTAAAAAATCTAGAAAAACTTCTAAACTAACTGTTTTTGATCTGAAATGACGATGGATAACCTAACTACATGGCTCATTTCTCATCCCAAATGTTTTCAGAAACACATAAAGGTTAACTTTTTATGTAATACAAGATAAAGTTTCCATACAAGGCTATGAGTAAAGTGTTTGTCCAGTTAGCTGCAGAAAGTATTTGTCCAGCTGTAGTTTATGTTGGATTATTATTGTTGAAGAAAACCTGTCTGTTGTCTATTGAGGCTACTGACAGGCTGTACACACATCAAGTGTCCAATGTTGGGAAGTGGTGGGACCCCGCATGTCTAAAAAAGCCCCTGTGGACACGTACCATTCAACTTAAGTTTTGTTTCCTGTTTATATTTGGTTTTCACTCGCTTTCTGGGTAGGTTTAGGCCAAAATCTAGGTTAGAGTTATGAAAATATTACCCTTTGTGAGACACTTTCATATGTTGGAAGTTTGATTAAGTTTAAATACCAAAATGACTTGACAATGGTTACAAAAAATGTCATGGGTTAGGTATTAATGTTGTAACTGAGAATGCAGTTTGGTCACATAGGAAAATAATTTTGTGGAGACTCGGTTGAGACAGCACCTCCTGGAAGTGTGTTTCAATGAATCAACACTTGGTACAGAATAGACAGAAGATTGACTTCAACAGGAGTGAAATAGTGACACACACACAATTTCACACAGCATTATGTTCACAAGTGTCATTCTTCAAGCGATTTTGAACTTCAGAAGAACATCTTTACATCTTAGCATTTACACAAACATGTGAGTGGACCAGTCACATGGGTTCTTTTAAAAGCTGCCCTAATGCCATCAATCAAGCCTCTCGGAGCTATAGAAGTAGGACTGAACAGTGGATTTTTCACAAACCTTTCCTAAAATGTGCATAACTGGCCTCAGCTGCTGATCCATCTGGGAGGAAAAGTGCTCAGGACACAAAGCAATTGTGTCAATTTAAGCTTTAAGGTGGTCATTTTAAACTGGGAGACACAGGAGGAATTTCACCATGGTGAATGTATCTTCAACAATTGGCTCCTCTGTTCACTGTTTCTGAGCCATGCTGCATTTATTTTATTGATCCAGTAGGTTGGATTTTCCTCTCAGTCTCTCTTGTCGTCTCCTCTCTGCTCAGTGGAAACACAGTCACTCTAGTTCACTCTATTTTTATTTTTTATGTGACCGTTAATCACTGCTGCGATAATCATGGCTTTTCATTTGCGCTATTTAGTGTCACATTTGTCATTTTTCCAGGATATAGTGCAAATGGTTATTATTCTAATGAACTTTTGATTGAGACTTAAAGAATAAAGTGATCTTGATGAAATATGACAGTTTTAAGCATATGTACTTTCCTGATAGAACCGTACACTACTCATGATATGGGCAAGGACCAAATCAAGCGAGTCTTCCTGTGTTTACAGTTTGTTTGGAGGTTAAAAGACTTAACATACAGGTTCTGATTCCGCTTACAGACTTTTTGTGTCAACTAAATGTGACAAAGCAGATGTATCATTTTGTACTAACTATACAAAAAACACAACTAAACATGACATGAAGAAATAAAATGAAACTGATGCTAAATAGCAGTTCAGTCTGATTATTAGGCTACATTTTGGCCTCTTTAAGTGTGCAATTGCAATTTTTGATGGAACAAATATCTGGGGTACAAAATGGTACCAGGAAACTGTAGGGGGTTACTTTGACTCTAACCTGAGTGTCTGGAAAATACTGACTCAGAGGATAGCATGATTTAGCTAATGCTGCCCACTCACCACTGTATAGCAGCACACCTTCCAGAACAGCACCCTGCATGTATCATGGAAACAATGGGAGCCAATGACTCCTGGGAGGTCGGGTAAACCCGCAGCAGAAGGCACAATAGCAGCTTCTGACAGCAGCAAATACATGTGTGGGTTTAGACTTTTCACAAGCATTCACGGAGAAGAGAGAAAAAGTATGCTTGTGTTATCCTCTTAAACCCAGCCAATTAACTTCGGGAGTTTTGTTAATTCATACAAAACCAGTACAAAGGCTCTGTGGAGACATCTGGGTCAAATGAAGTCAGCTCTGTCTCACATCATTATCCTCTCTGCACTCCAATTATTCCTGTTCTATTATGAACGGACCAATAGAAACTCCAAGCTCTTGACATCCCTATCATTTAACTGTCTCTCCTCACAGCAATGGCTGCAGGTGAATATACAAGAGAGGCCAGGCTTTTTGCACATGAGGAAAAGATAAGTTCACTTGAATGTGACGCCCTCTGAGTCCCATTCACAGTATGTGGAATACGAATATGTATGAAGGCATTTAATAAGTGAAAGTTTTTCACTGCTAGAGGGAGAAAGGGGGAGTGTAAAGCTCCAAAATGAACCACACTGATATGCCAAACGAGATAAAGTTATATGTGTGTGTTTGTAATTTGACCCATGGGTCAGTGCATGTGTGTCTGTGTACATGTTTGTGTTGATGTGATTACTCACCCTCATAAGAATGGAAAATGATGGGTTCAAGGAGGTCCTGGTATTCTTTGACCTGAGCTTTATTTCCTCTGAACACCCCTACAACACAAACACAAACACAAACACACACACAAACACACGCACGCGCACGCACACGCACACACACACACACACATAATTATTGACACCAATTAAAATTTGTGGATAAAAGATATTTAAACACCCACAATATGATGCTGAAAAATATTTAACATCTACATTCTATACAAATCTATACTATTTAGTAGTGAGATCAATAAGGGACTGTATGTTCTTTACATCCGTGTGTGTGGGAGTAGGGCTCTGGTGCACGTGTGTACATGAACCTGGACATGTTTTTTCTATCTTTGTGTGGATGCATACTTGAGTATTACTTGTGCTATGAGGCAATGGATCCGTTTATATGGTCACAGTAAGGAAATTCAAACTTCTTGTGGAGACAAAGAGCAAGTTTCCATGACATGAATTATTCAGTTTTAAAATGAGGACTTGGTTTAAAGTAAGAATAAGATTAGATTTAGAGCTAGGCAAGTTATGACTGTCTCTAGGAAAATAATGTAAGTTGATGCAACATTCACTGAAGTGATCAATGGCTGCATGTGTTTGAGCCTGTATGTTCGTTTTCTGTATAAATTCAGCTCTTGGTTGTCTCACACCTTGTAGTGGCCTGCATAATGGGGTTAACTTTTTTTTTGTTTTTTGATAATTTGAGAAAATACCCTCAAACAAATACAACAAATTTTTTTAAAAACAAAAAATATAAACAAAGTCTACTCTGATGAAAGTCATAGTGGTGTCATGCATCTCATCTGGGAGGCTGAGCTAATTCTGTGTTTCAGGTGTCCGGCTGCCCTGATCGGAGAGGTGCGCAGGTGTAGGCATGGGGAAAAGGTGATGAGCTCCTCCTACTCGAATTTCACACCCATCTTCTCTGTGTTTAGTAAGTAGAGGCTGTCTACTTGCTGTCACCAGGTGTGTAATATTAAAAAATAGTTGCTTTTAAATGTGTCATCTTTTAGTCCAACAGAAGCACCCTTAAACATGCAGGTCATTCAGATTTTGTGGGACAAGGATTATTCATATGGATGTGCCCCACAATGCTCACATTTTAGTTGCTAACTTTATGTGTCTGCTGTTTTGTGCTTGGCTCATAGTGCACAATGGATTCATCAAAAGCTGCCTTCTTCATCATCATGTGTCTTACTGGTAACATATGATGATCAGAGTGTGCAAAATGAGCTGAAATTATCTGTGGTTTTGTTACTACAAATTTCACTTGCACAATTATTTCATCCGGTGTTCCTCAAAAAATGTTGAGTGTGCTTCTCAACTGAAGCATACTTCAGGACCAAACAGTAATCTGACCATGTAAAACTTGGAAAGGCAGGTTTTTTTGGCAAAGAAAACCCCAATGACCTTTTAAAAATATGGTAATTTCAGTGGTCTGAGAGGAAACTAGATTTTTGCATTTTTTTTTGTCTCTGTTTTTAGGTTTTAGGAAATCTAGACTGTCACAGGAGACTTTGACCAATCACAGGTCTGCTCAGGTAGATGGCGTTTCTATTGGCTGTTACACAAATGCAAATGCATGTGCTTTTCCAGAGTTCTGTCTGCCCTTGTTTTAACTCTAAGTATTCCCAAGCAGGTCTGTGTAATTTCATGGTCAACTACAGTGGGAAGGCATGTTCCTTAGAGTCCAATATGTACTGTTGGTTTACACTGTATTAAATCTTCTTGTGGTGCCATTAATTAACTATTCGGAGTTCTAGTATGTACACAAGACAGCTTTGGAGCAGCTCATTACTGTTCTTTTGATGTTCTGTCTACTTTGTTATTGACTGTGTTTTAGCTATTTGGATCAGTTTAATATATCTGTTAGGGGATAGGACCATAAACCTAAATATTCTCAGATTGTCTGTTATTGATAAATATGTCAATGGAGTGTAAACAGGTACAGGGGAATTAAATGATGTTTGAATTCACACTGTTACCCTCTTTAATGTATTTCTGCCCATTCCCTTAGGTTCTCTAAAAAAAATAAATAAATCACAAATCATATCTTTTCAAAAGTGTCTGTAAGTTCTCTAAACCTGGCAAACACTAAAATGCAGTTCCCTGTCAAGTGCTGTAAGTCTGGCTTCTATCTTGCCAATGACCCACTTGAGGCATTATAACAGTAACAGTGAATAGAACAAGGCTTACCGTCAATCATCATGTAGATGAAAAATATGGGAAACTCGCACTCGATTCCATCAAAAAGCTGGAAGAAGACAGAGAAGGACGGAATTATTGCTTTTCCATTTCACAGAGAAGAGTGACACAGGGACTTTAAAGCATTGGCAGAACTTTAGAAGCACTGAATATAGAACAGTATGGCACAGAGAAAGCCATAGAAGATGTGACATTGTGGTGAAGACTAACAGCAGAGAGGAATAATAATGCTACCTCTCAAGGTCTTTCTTTTTTTCAGAATTCAAAGCTGTGTTGTTGTTTTGAGGGGGACATTTGAATGTCTCAAGTTTCAGAAAGTTTATGATACAGGAATGCAGGACTGTGGTGACTCTGTGCAGAGGCATGACAGACTTTGGCAATCATGTAGATGGTGCAGATCAAGCGCAACCCAGCAGCAACACTCTCGATGGCAGTGTCCTCGCCAGCAGGACAACGCAGCTCTCCACACAGCAAAAAACTGCTCAGGAACGGCTCAAGGAACACGACAAAGAGTCCAAAGGGATGGACCAAGCCTCCACATTCCCTAGATCCTTATATGATTGAGCATCCATGGGATGCACCAGAACAGGCCTGATCTTCGGATGACCCACCTCACAACCCACAGGACCCAAAGGGTCCACTTGCAATGTCCCAGTGCCAGACACTACACAACATGCCCAGATGTCCACGTTTGTGGACCAGTGGGCCAGAGCTGTTTTGGCGGCACGACAGGGATCTAAACAATATCAGGCAGGTGGTTATAGTGTTGTAGCTAATCAGTATATGTCATACATCGTTTATACTGATTAGAAAGTGCAGTTAACACACAAGATCATCACAATTTAGCTTTTGAATTCATGCTACCGATGTTCCATTCAAATCCTGTGACTGACACACTTTCACATCACACACACATCACATATTGCTTGGTTGTGGTCTAGTTGGTTAGTTAATAGTTTGACTGACAGTTTTCACACTAGCTGGAACAGACAGGCCCATGCTTTTTGAATCACACTAAACACATCAGGTTTAATCGCTAAGCTGCGAAAGGTAAGATGTCAGACTTCCATTAGCCTCCAAGATAGCTTCAAAGCTCCTTGGCATAGATCCACCTAGTCTGTAGGACATGACTGAAACAGCATTAATCCAAAATATGCTCCCACGCTTGGTGTTGTGACAAATCCAACCCAGATATTACCCTTTGGAGTCCAGTTGGGGTGGGAACCAGTGACTACAAGGACCATTGTATATGACTTGCAGTATTGAACACTTATCAAACTTTTCAGTGAGCCCTTGTACTGTGTATGGAGGCATATGCGTTCAGTTTATTCAGGTTTTTAATTTGATTAAACATCTGCCATATAAACACCTCGTAAGCAATATGTCTGACTGACTGACTGACCGTCAATTGAATGCAGTCAACGGCAGCATGTGACAGCAGCTGCAGAGAACAGTTGAACCGACACCATCACTTGCTGGATTATTCTCTGAATCTCACTCAACCAGAAATCCTATTATGAAGTGCACACCACATATGTGTGGACTGTCACACACACATACACAAACACATAAACCTGAAGTCATTTGGTTACAAGTCACATGCAGAAAACACAGTCAAGTGAATCAGAGAATTATTCATTCCAATAATCCAATCCCTTCATGTTTATTCTCACCTAAAGAGGATCAGCTCAAAAACACTGTGCCTGCACAATAACCCTCCTTTGAGTCACCAAATTTGTATAAGCTCTACAAATCATCAAGGTCAGCTTGTAAAACCGTCAAATAAGTTGCAGTTGTTTGTTAGTCGCTTTCAAATCCATCGATACAAAACGTGTGTGTGTGTGTGTGTGTGTGCATTTTAGTCCATCTATCTGTAAATGTCATTAGCCCTGACTATCTTCGTCCCTCATCTTTTTCAATAATCTCCTCACTGATGTAAGATAACAGAGATTACATCCTAATGCAATAACACATGCCTGGTGGAGTTGGCACACACATGCACTCACATTCAGAAGCTGCTTTCACTATCGCCGATCAGATATGACTGTCTGTATAAATGTTCTTCTTTAAATGGTTAATTTCTGCACCCTGTGATTATGCAGATATGCATGGCCTCAAACTGTGTATTTCTGCAGCAATGAGAACCAAATGTAGCTATCAGGTGGTGAGAGAGGGATGAGGGAGAGAAAAATGAAAGACAGGAGAGTGCATAAAGAGAAACAGAAGCAGGGGAGGGTGTATTTAGTGGCAGGGGGAGCAAGAGAGAGGGAGAGCTGAGGCAGTCACCCAATGAGGCCTGTGCTTTTTGGCCCGTTGAGGCTGTAAACAGGCAGGGATCCCTGGTGTTTTGTGCTTGAGCAGCTCGACTGATTGGTAAAACTGTCTATCACACAGGCTGCTGCTGCTGCTGCTGCTGCTGCTCTCTGTCAATGGTAAACAGACAGGGAGCACAGACGTCTGCCCTGCTGTGAATTCTCTCTTAAACGCCAACAACAACTTCAGTCAATGTCTTCTGCAGAGAGACCTGGTCTACCTGCGTCTTCTCTTTCTCCAGACAGACTCACACTGTGTCAGACACTCCCATGGCATTTCACTACTCTATGTGGCAGCTTATCACTCAAAGCACGTAACATTTTACTTACCACTTTCTGCATGCTGTGTTTGTAACACTGTTAATCTGTTGGACCTCTAAAACTGCCAAATGCTTCTTTTCTCGCATCAAAATAATCAGCAGCTTGTTTTAATATTCATTAGCACATAATGGTATTCTTGTGGTAATATTTGCTGTATTATGTAATAAATAATGTAACCACCTGGATTCTTTTTACTTGCAGTATTTGCAGGTGTACAGGCAAAGACACTACCATTAGTAGAAGCGATCACAGCTGGCTTTCCAATACGAAACTGAACTGGAATCGGTGTCTTCCACAATAAATATCTGTGTGCCTGCAGCTACAACTGACGGCAGGATGGAGCTCAAAGGAACTGAGGCATTAAATGCTCTTTGAAATTCCTATTATTTGCTTCCTATTAGCTGTAGGATTAAATAAAGCTAATTTCAAAGTAGTTCAGAGTTAGTGCCCCACAAGTGCCCTCTGTGACATATCAAGCAGGTCCTTCCATCCTCAGTGCTTTTTTGAATTATTTTCTGTTTGTTTTTTTTTATTTCAGGCCCACCTTTCAGTCCCAAACAATCTCCATAGCTAAAAAGTAAACTAGAGCTGATGACTTCAGCATCCTCTTTGAAGAAGTGTCTAACAGTCCACACCCAAAGACTTCTTCAGATCATGCAGAAGTCGTGTAAAACATCAGAACTCATGGCTGCCAGGTGAATCTCAAGAACTCCTAATACAACTCTCCAGCAGTCAGCAGAACTGATAAGTCAGACACTCCACTTGCGTCTCACTTTGCACTTGCAGATCTATCTTGGTTGTTTTCTTCATCTGCCTCTGTGAGCTCTCTCTGGGAGGTTAGTTCTACAGCTAACGCACTGATTTGTTTAGTTCTAAGAGTCCAGCCTGGGGTTCACTCATGGTACGCTCACTGAGCTGATTCTTCAATGAGTGCACTGTCATCTTGACAGGATCACAGGGGATTTCCAGAAGGACAACGGATACATGGTTATTCACATAAGTATATATGCACCAGCTCACACACTGATAGACTCATTCACTGTCACACACACAAACACACACACTAAGATTTGAGGAGAAATGTGTCAGGGATTGAAAGACTTGAAATGGGAGAGGCTAAGTCAGATCTCTTAGCATTATCACAAAAGGATAATACCTTTGCAGGATTAAACATTCCAAGAACTTTTTAAATGTCAAGCCCTTTCTAGTTGAACTTTTTTTATGTTTTAGGGATTGCTAACCATGTTCCTCAAGTTTAACAAATGTTTACCTGAAGTAAACACAAGGTACATTTGTAAACAATATTATATCACTCTTTAATTATATATTTAAACAATTATATAATCTTAAAAATGTTAATGAGATAACTCAAAGTTTGAGTGCTCTCCAAAACAACTGCTGCTTTGCTGTCCATACCATGTTTCATTTGTTTCTTTGTCTCATCATCCTAATGTTTAGTGTGTGACATGACACAATAGTTTATTCAGCAGTCTGCAAAACTCCTAAAATGTTCTTGCGCATACCTCTCTGATTGGTTATTCTCTTAAACCGTAAAGGTGCTTGCTTCTTTTCATCTCTGGTGGAGTTCTCCAAGGATCTATTCTGGATCCCTTACATTTAGTTTGTGTTAAACCTACTTTTTCCATTTGATCGCACGTTATTCAAATATGTAAATTAATTTTAACTGTTAAGATGATAACACTCAGCTGAACATTTTGTAAAACTTAAAGAGATGTGCAACAGTATAAAAGAATAGAAAGAGAGAACATTATCCCAAAAAAAGCATCCTTTTGGTGTACCACCAGCACCCACCTTCATTTCAGCAGGTTTGTAGTAACGGCGATTCTTGTCTTCGTTCGCGGTGCGGTATCCATCACGGAGGAAGCGCTTGAAGCCATATTTACCCCGTAACTTGCGAACGATCTTGTCAAGAGTTTGACTGTACAGAGCGTCATCATCGACTGCAAAGGCAGGATAGCTGATGGTTGGAAGCAAGGCTGCATCGGTGTTCTGCAAGGGAGAAAAGTTTACTTTCACAACTTAGAGACCCCATCCACGAAGTCCAGGAAATTAAAACACTGTTCCACTATTAATATTATTATTGTTATTATTTTTGCAGTGAATTAATTTACAATAACACCAACTGTTTGTTCGACGAATTTATATGATAGTGATTAAACTTAAACCCCAACCTCAGTCACGTATAGCTCACAGTTATATAACATAATTTCTGAGTCTCTTCTGGGAGTAGCTAGTACCATTTAGCAAATACATCTATATGCTCCAGCGATCATGTACTAGAAAGGTTTAGATGGCTTTTAGCAGCATTGGAGTGAAAGCATCGAGTTATGAACAACACACCACTGCAGTCTTATTGAAATTGAGGCACTGTCTGACTAAATTTCAATTTGAATAGTCATTAGGAATAAATATTGTTATCATGCTTGACAAACTACTATGACTGGGCATCGAATAATCTCATTGTATTTTCGTTTGGTTTACTCTATTAAGCAATGGAAATGAGAGCTATTAAGTCTCAGTTTCACTGCAAACAGCTATGAATATTTAAACCTTATTAATAGATGGCAGCTTCCAAAAATAAAAGGCTTGTTTTCCATATTCTGTGTGGACTCTGCTGTCTAGGTACTGAAGTTCCTAATAACTGCAGTGACATGGATTCTGACGTGCTATGAACTCGTTTGTCGAGCAGCTAAGGACTAGATTTCTGTTTAAGGTATGGTCGACTGTGTGTTGCAGCTGTTCTGCTTTGTAGCGTTTTCCTTTGTGATTTGCACAGATCTGTGTAGCTCACAGAGGAGCCAGGTGCAGCTCTGTCTGGGCTAATCCCTCTTTATGCTTTGACTTCTTGCTACAACTCCAATCTACATGTTAACATCCTCGGTGGTTGCAGGTGAAATGGGACATCAGTTTGCAGAACACACTTGGTGCAGGTATGAAATGCGTCTGGAATGGAATATTGAAATTCAATGATTTGACATGCTACAGGGAGATACTGATATTATATTGATAATTTGGTTATCTTGACATGATCCTGCACTATGCTGGTCTCTCACTCCTTACTGCACTCCTTCCTTTTCAGCTCCTTAATGTCAATCTCACACGCCTGTAACGCCACCCTGATCATCTAATTATACTAATTTCCTTGCAAGCTGATGGCGGCCATTCTGCCTGACACTTTCTGCATGCAGAGAAAGAGATGTGATCATTTAAGTGTCTGCAAGTGGTGGAGTGGAGAGACGGAATGATTTTGCTTCTCCTTTCTTCTCTTCATTCCACTTCGTCTTTTCAGCTCTACTTCCCTGCAGCTCTGCAGCCAATTCTCACTTTTGTCATTTCTTGTCAGTGCTGATTCATCAATAGCACAGGTATAGGCAGTGTAATGGCTGCATGGTGAGGGAAACACATTGCTGAATTGATATCTACTGACATACTGACAGGAGTGTGTGGTTTGCTTGATCTATACAATTAACCTTTTAGGTTTTTGAAATATGTGAGGCAGGCAACCATTTGGTAGAGATTATGCACACAGCTGCTTTCTGAGCCACAAAAAAGGGGTGCACGTTGCATCAAATGTGCAACTGTGGGCATTTTTTAACAATTACATTTTTACTTTCACTTATGTACACATCTGAATTTATCTGAGTGACTTTTAACAATAAAAGAAAATAAAAATAGTCAAAAAAGTAGGATTTTTAAAATCTTCTTTCTAAATAAACATGGTTTAAAGAGACTTTTTTAATTTTAGAACAAGACAGTCACAGCCACAAGCATGTCTGGAGACGATGCTTTTTTTTGCCTTGGGTTTTAGCCAATTGTTTCCTGACTTGATCGCCCGTTCAAGATTGACATTGTTTAGAAAGATCTATATACACAATATGAGATTTGAAAACACTGGTTCTCATTGATGAAAATGCTGCATGGCAGTTATCAATAACACAATGTGGGAGCACAGTAGTGTGGACCCCTGCCTTTTTCTTGCACTGACTATAAATGTATGCGCAAGAGTTCACTGCAGTTTATCTCATAGTTGTTTGAGTCCCTCTTTGGTCACTGATTTAACAACTAAAAACTTAGATAATTAGAAAGTTTTTCCATGAAAATATTCTCTTACTGTCTTAAAATGGCTCAGATGTAACTACACACTATTGCCTTCTCTAGATTGTGTGGGTGCATGAAGCTGTTGCCTCCCTCTCCACTTGCTGAGAACAATAGCTCATCTACAACTCTGCTCAAACACTGTAAAATTACTCTGTGCTACACAATGGCAAGTTGTACTACTGAAGTACTTCAGCCATATGTTTGAACCTGGGCTGCAAGGTGGCTCGGTGGTTAGCACCGTTGCCTCGCAGCAAGAAGTTTGCCGGTTCGCGACCCGGTGAGGACACCCGGGATCTTTCTGCGTGGAGTTTGCATGTTCTCCTCATACAGCTTGGATCTCTCCGTGTTCTCCGTCTTCCTCCCACACAGTCCAAAAACATGCTGAGGTTAATTGGTGATTCTAAATTGTGTGAATGTAAGTGTGCTTGGTTGTCTGTCTCTAAGTGTAGCCCTTCAACAGACGGGCGACCTGTCCAGGGTGTCTCCTGCCTCCCCTGCCTAAGTCAGCTGGGATAGACTTCAGCGCCCCACAACCCTAGTGAGGATTAAGCGGTGTATAGATAATGGATGGATGGATGGATGTTTAAACCGATTCTGAAGAACAATCATGATACATAGAGCCCCACCCTGGAAGCTAACAGCATTTATTTCTTAGGTTTGTTACACATGAAACCTTGGAGGACTGAATGCTTGTCTTCTAAACTCTAATCAGTAAGTTGGAATTGCTCAGTCAAGGCATATTAAAAAAAAACAACAACATATGAAGATGCTAAAAAGGTAACAGAATACCTATTAATGCTTGTGGAGCTATGTGCAATGTCAGGGGATAACCAAAGTCAGTATGGTTTATTCTCTGAAAAATTGTGATTGGTGGACTGACTGACATTAACTAGACCAGGGGTCGGCTCCAGAGCCGCATGTGGTCCTTTCATCCCTCTGCTGCGGCTCCTTGTGGTGTTGGAAAATAAATAATGAGTATTTAATTTAAATTTATAAATTTTTTTCAGTCTGTTAGTTTTCAAAATGCAATTCTGAATTTGAAGATTATGGTGATCTTGCAACATTAAAATAAAACGTGTTCAATCTTTTGTCGCTCAAAATATGCGTCACATCGGCCGATGTGCAACACCCGCCGGCACGCACTGTGTTGTGCTCACAGGCGGTCAGGGGTCTGGTCAGCAGTCCCAGCTGCAGTCAGCAGGCCAACCAGACATCATTTTAACTTTGCTGCAGGTGGATAATTTAAGTTTCTATTTCATAAATACAAGACGGACTGAAATAGACATTGAGTATTTTGTTTGAAAGTAACCTTCAACCCAGCGTGTTTCTTTTCAAAATGTTTTTGTTGCATGCAGAAACAAAACTTCGCTTTCCCTGTAGTAGTTCATTGATTTCATAAATGCAACACACTATTGTTTTTTATACATAGCATTAACGTAAAAACGGTAGATGCTATCTGTGTTATCTTCATTTTAGATGTCAAAAGGGTTTTGTGGCTCCCGGTGTTTTCTTTTCTGTGGGAAACGGGTCCAAATGGCTTTTTGAGTGTTGAAAGCTGCCGATCCCTGAACTAGACCCATGTCACTGGCTACAAAAATTGATAGAGTTTGTAAGTTGATATCTTGCAGATTTGCAAGTTCTTCCTTTTTGCTTGCAGCCTTGTATACAATCTGTAACAGTCATTTCCTACTATTAAAACTTTGTTATTTGTATTGTTTTTTTTTTTTTTAACTGTGAGTAGGGAGGGGGGTGGACTTACATGGGAGCGAGACTCTCGGGGCAGTAAGGAGCAAAGGGTTTGCCTGTTCCTGTTGTGGGCGTCCAGATCCACAAATATCACAGACCATGAGCAGCCCTGCAGCACAAAACAGAAACACACAGAGACAGACAGCATCCCAGTTACAGCTGAACTATATTTATGGTTCACAGGTAGCGCAGTACAGACTCATGTTCTGCATGTGAACACCCAAAATATAAACAGGTGCACAAGCCCTCCATTATGTATAGCAAAAAAGAAACCTAATTCGAGTAAAATGGTTCAAATGACATGTCTTTAAAGCCTTCACCATCACACCTGACACCCCTGCACATCAAAACTCTTGCAGCAACAACGGGCTGATGTATTTGGCTTTCACATGTTTTTGAAGTACAGTGTGGGAGTGCTTGAACAACAAAGTCGATAGTCATCCTATCACTTCAAAAGTCTCCATGTACCAGAATGAAGTGCTGCTACCATAAAGTAGTTAGTTCATTCAGTGCACTTAAACACATCATGACGGCAGGGGGGTGGGGGGGCTTTTACTTGCTAAGGGAAGTGATCAAACCTTTTCTGGTTCCAAAAGCTGGTCCAGCCCACTTTATCCATCCATTAGCAGTGCTTACATAAAACCAACTGAGTCATTCCCACAACCTGCTAGGCAGTTTCTAATGTAAGTCAGATGCATTATGTATGAATATTGCCAGTCTATTTTTTTCTTCCAAAAACAGGTCTGGCTTGGGCTTTTAGTCAAATCAGCAAGCTTTCCTTCAGCAATTTGCATAGTGCAGTGGATTGCTGGCCACCAGGGTAGGCAGCTGTGTGACATGTCAGTGAAGTGGTCCTCTCATGGACACATTTATGATGTTAGAGTATATAGCAGCAGTATTAAAGAGAAAAAAAAAAAACAAGCTTGCAAGATAAGTGGATTTGCATTTGATATATGCTCGTTTGAGTGGATGGTTTCATTTTTTGAAAACATTTTTATGTGCTTTTATATACGTATTAATCTGAGACATGCGTTCAACATAAAACCCTTGCAAAGGTGCAATATGTAAGACAGATTTAGAACATAAATAGAATATTAATATGGCCGCAAACAACCATCTGCTGTGTAAAGATATAATGCAGTAATGGCAACCTTCAGAATGAAGTCACATCCCCCTGACTAAAAACACTGCACTGTAAAAACTAAAGTTCAGGCCGCTGTATAAAAAATATATATAATGATATAATACAACATACATCAACTTGGCACTGCTTTCTGTGCAGTAACATACACAAATTATTATTATTAAAAAAATAAAAAATGATGGATTTACTAAGTTGTTCTGCTGTATCCTTGCATCTAAGTGGGTGTGAATTAGGTGACAGTCCCTTAACGGAAAGTGGAACCTGTTAAGACTTGATTGTCCGGCTGTGTGTACACAGCTCTACGAGTTTAATGACTGGCTTTAAAGCTGAAGGATCCTCTTCCTAGCAAGATCAATTTTTATCCGCCCAGTTCAATTTGTCACACAGCTTTCTTTACATCGGCTGCGTGGCTTCGGGGTGGGTGGTAATATCAAAACCTCCAGAAACTGACGCATGTCCATTCATCTCATACAAAGGCTAAATTTAATTCTCAACAACAAGCGTCCGCAGCCAGTGGACAGTGCGATAGCAGAGCTCGGAACGTACCAAATGTTCTGGTTTAAGGTGCTGGGGGGGTTTGAATTTGGTGTTGGAGGGATGAGAGTCAGCTGGGAAATCAAGATTGATAGGGATCATTAATAAGCAACTGGAAGGCTTGTAGCACTTTCATTCCCACAGAGACTGAGACACACAGAGACATACACACACACTCATACTTACAGAAGCTCCACACAGCATGGATCATAAAGCAGCCACCTCTATAAATTGATTCTTTCAACAAGCTGAGCTCGATGACAAAATCCATTTTCAGGCACAGTTAAACCCCTCATTTTGCAGGTGTTCAGAAGAGAAACACAAACAACAACTTTACAGTAATACCTAAACCCCGCGTTCAGTGATAATATAACATTTTAGATGCATTAAATGGCTACAGAAGCCATTTCTGGCAAATGCCCAAGTGAAGACAAGAAGAAAAGATAATAAGAGAGCAGGCTTGCTAAGTGGAGGCTTCATTTTCCAATCCATTAGCAGGTGTAATGAATGTCCCTGTTTTTCTTCTCCGACACTGGAGCAAGGAAAAAAAGAAACACATCCACTAATGGACTTAGCAAAAAGCAGGCAGTGAGATTCTGAGGAAAACCAGGATCAACTGTGGCCATCGATCAAAGTCTGTAACGGCACAAACAATTTGCTGAGACAAACACAAACAAACTAAAAGAATCTCGCAATGGTCAATTGTCCACTCGGAGAAACACTCTTCCATCAAGGACCACAGCACTAATTAACACTGATGATGTCCCCTTGTTAAAACAGCTGCAACTTTCCATAAATTCAGGTCAGTCACTCTTTGCGCTGTGTGGTGGCACTGCTCAAGCTGATGTATGGAGCTGTAATCGACTGCTGCAGGTTTGAATTAGAAACTAGGCCGTCTATCTATAATGCAAGGTGAAGTCATGTGACATAATTAGACAGGAGACAAATACACTTGTGTCTTGGGATTCGTATGAGGAGGAAATGTGTATGGGGCATGTGAATTATTCAAATACCTGGTTTCCAAACAGGTTGAATCCATTGATAGCCTCTAGAGCAGCTTTAGCAAGGCCCACAGAGCTGCAAGATAAGAAACACTGGGCATTACACAAAACATGCAGTAAGCAGATATCCCTTACCCTGACGCACTATGGGGTAAACAATATCTGGTATTTTACAAGCATGACAACAAATGTGGTGCTTTGAAAGAAGCAGTGTTACAAATCAGAATGTTCTGAATCACATTTGAATCTCAAATGGCTATCTGTCAGGATTTAATAAAGCTGAGATGGTACTTGGTCTACAGTAGATAATGGATCTTTAAAGTAAAAGAATTTTTTTTTTTTTTTATTGAATTTCACGGTGGCTGGCTACTGTGATTGCAATGCAGACTAAATGTGAATCAATTTCACTGTCATTTTACTTCCTTTTCCAGCCTGCCAAGATTTCCCTCGAAACGAAAAGGAGAAGGGGGGAAAAATTGCAGGAAACTTGGCAATGACTGGTGGTAGATCTGCTGACATATCAAAATGTATTCAATACCATTAGGGAGGCTTGAATCGATGCTTAAAATACACAGAATGGCTGGCTAATTCAGCCTGCAAAAGAAAGCTCCAGAAACTAGTTCTGTGTAACACACACAGAGAAGGATCATACCGGTCAGCACGTGACATTTGGATGGATGAGATTTGATGGTTGGCAGAGAAACAGGAGGTTAAACAGTGATACCGGGAAACAGGACCAAAGCAGAATGATGATGCAACAGTTTCAGTTGAGAGGTGGAGATAAGGATTCACATGATGAAAATGTTGCTGTAGACTGTGAGCTCATTCAATGGACTGCAGACAGTATTCTGCTGCTCCTCTAATGAGGGTGGCTCCACACAGCAGCTCATATCCCAGCTGGGGTCATATTGAGTGATTTTATGCTTCTTCATGTTCATATTCTGCAGTTGGGCCCCTGTCGAGAATCACCACGGCCCACCTTGTCCTCGAGTTTACACCCTGTTCCAGTGTGCTTACTGTGCCATTATTTAGGGTCATTTGAAAAACAAAACAAAAAAAAACAGAAACACAGATGATCACAGTCCAGAGAGAAAAGGAATCACTTACCACCTTATCTTGTGAACAAATTTCCTGGCTTAGGTCATTTGATAAATCTGAACCATCGTCATGGCACTGAGCAAAACTCCACCCAAATGAGCAAGCCAAATGAAATACAGTTTAACCTCCAGAAAAAGCTAGTTAGACCTCGAGCAGTGCTACGGAGCTGTTTCTGAGTGGCTAACGCTCCCACAGAGAACATTCCAACAAAAATAAACTGCATTCGGAATTATGTTTAGAGCAAAACGTATTTTCTGCCAGAATAAGTTTGCCTGTGACATGTCACAAACACGTCATGTTGAAAGACTTTTTGCTGTTTGTTTTATTTCATTGCTGACACTCATTTTCAGCCGACCCGCCACATTTCAGATGCAGCAGGACTCATCATTCTGAAAACCCAGAAAATGGAGGAGAAATTACAAACAATTTGTGAAAAGGGTTGCATTTTAACCTAAAAAGTGAAATTTCCAAAACCCAGCCAAGCAGTTACGCTGCCTAAACCTAAGCAGAGAATGATAATTGAAACAAAAAAAGAAAAACAGGTTAAAACAAAACTTAAGTATGAGAATAATGGTCGCGCATGTGGCAGGAATCCTGATCTCCTGAGTGAAAGGACCGTTGTCGACTTGTGCCACTAACATAATCATCATTGTGAAGTAGTGGCCTTTCCGACCATGCCACAGTCTTCCCCTTCTGGAAGAAAATACATTTGTGTGAAATGAAATTCAATTTCTTCAAAATGTAGTTGAGAGTGTAGTTGAGTTGTATAGGAACATCAGAGTTGGCTGGTGAAACAGCACACAGTCCTACCAAGATACACTGCAATGAACTGCAAAAACAGGGAAAAAGTATACTATATGGTAGTAAATACTGATGGAAGCAATGCTGGAGTTAAAATATTTAATAAAATCCATTTGGCAAAAGTAATGCAGTCAACAAGTTTTCTTTGAGATCTCACAGAATGCATTCTGGTAACACTGAATGTAAGAATAACTCTTTACTCTGTTAAATGTCATCATAGCTCACAAGATGTTTCTACAGGGCACCTGACTTTTTCTTTTTTTAAACTAAAATAATTAAATTGGCTTTTCCTCATTTCTCTGACCACCTGGTTGCAGCATAACAAGCTGCTATAACCATTGAAAGTATATACACAGGAAGATCTCATTTAAAGTTCAGTGTGGCAGCTCCAGCCATCACCACCTTGGCAGTACCCATCTCCTTCCAAGTTGCAGCTAATCCAAAAATTAGCAAAGAGGTGGAGCAGAAGAGGAGCTGAGGCAGCCATGCAAACATCTATGTGCCATGGACTGTCATATGACAACACAAGCCTGTCCCTCAGAGCAGCCCACCCCTAATAATGTACAAGTCTAAGCCTGTACAGGTGGATTATATTGAAATTTGTCCCAGTACAGTTGCCATCAGCTTTATTGGCCCAAACCGTTTAGTGTCTGGAGATATCGTTTTCATTGCTGCATGCTTCACTATGCTCGCCAGCTGGTCACTAACTGTGTTTGTCAGCTGTTTGGTGCTGGGCAGGCACTGTGGCTGTATCAGAGGGTTTCCTGTGAAAAGAGTTGTGAGCTGTTTCTGCTGTCAGGAGATTTTATGGGGGCAGTGAGACTAGATTAAACCATTAAGTTTAGGTCATAAAAACCCAAACAACCAGCTGAAAGATGCTAAAATGCTCTATAATGTTGGGGGAACTGTAGTCAGGTAAAAAACCTTTGGGGACTCAAGGCCCATTTCACATTCAGACATAGTCATTTGATCCATTCTTCATATAAAATATTGATTGAAGCAGCCTTCAGGTTTTAAAACAGGATTCTGACACAAGATAAGGCCCCACTGTGACTGAAACTCTAATTTACTTGGTAATCAAATCACTGTCACAGTCAATATGGCAGGAATGGAAACATTCATAATAATAATAACTTAGAGTATATTACAGGAGATTCACACTCTGATGGTTTTAATTTGTGCTGCTGCAAAATGAAATATTCATGAACATATGACAAGATCCCTGTTTTTAGATTTGTAATAAAATGTCATTTAACTCGTTAAAAGTTGGGATACTGCAGAACATCCCAAAGCTTATGAGATTAGTTATGCTGCTTTAAATAAAACAGCTCCATTCTATCCATTTGACTGGGTGTGATGATAAGCACGAGGCTGAAGGAGATAAAATGAATCATTTGATTTGATATGGATAAATGAATACTCTGTCAAAACGAACACATCCTTTCCTGTTCATTTCCACCGAGCCTCTTTCTGCCCACTGGCACTCCGGGAGAGGAGATGAATTCTCAATTTGATCATTTACACAGATCTTGTTTACATGGAATCGTTCTGAATCAGCCCTGCCACAGTTCACTATTTGCATACAGCATGTTAATTGGTATTACGCAACTACATGTATAAACTAGCTCACTAATTGTGGTAATCCAAAGCATGGCCACGAGGGGAAGAAACACAACAAGTGCGAGATACAGTGCCTCTTCACTACATTGAATATGTTATCTTTTCTTGAGGATATCTTGGCAAGCTGCTGCCAATATCCTTGAATTGTTGGAGAAAGAAAAAAAACATGCTTCCCAGAGATAAGCAATGGCAGAAATTGAGGATCTTTATCAAGACACTGGGGGAGGAGAGAGAGGCCAGCTCGACCTTGGATGATAAATCAGTTCAGGAGCACGCAACAAAAACTCATGGCTCTGGCTCAGAACAGTGCTGCTGTTTAAACATGTGGTTTAAAATCCTTATCGTCACATAAGTTAACTGTTGATCCATTACATTTTTCCTTGGCTGAGCTTATTTACTCACTGGTAGAGGTTGTGTATTTGCCAAGTTGTGCTGATTTAATGATTCTATCAGTAAATACACTCTGTAAGTTACTGCTCCCAATAAAATCCTGACTCGTATTACAACTGTAATATCTGTCCAAATGCTTGCAATACGATTCCTTTTTTCATGTCATTTACTTCTATAATGTAGTTTTCTTTGAAAGCAGTACCACTACAGTTACGCCATTTCCTAAACAAAAAACTAAACAACTAAACAAATTCACTTTTGGTATTCAGCTCATAGACTGTATAAAAGATGGACGTAGCTTCCGTGACGTCACCCGTTGGTTTCTGCACTGAGAAAATGAAGCCAGGGTTTTGCTACTTCCTGGTT